CATGTTTTTCGCACTTAAACCATAAAATTCAATTCAACAGCAATATCATATAATTAAAAAAAAGCATATCTTTAGAATTTCCGATACATAGTCTCGCGCGTTAGAGATGAAAATGTTTTTTGCCATTGCTCGCTTTAAAATCGTTGGGTTTCTTAATCAAAAACCCATAAATGCTTTACAAAATATGATATATGAAATGGATAGTAATACAAATTCCCAGTTCCAAATTTGGGCCTCCAGATGCCTATATTAGGATGAAGGATTACGTTATTCAGAATTTCATGGCTCTAGGTACCGTTGTTTTATCACAGTGTGAGAAACATTCATACATTCTGCAGATTCCTCATTATTTAATTTCTTTAAATATAATAGAGTGCGATAATACTTGGTGGCAACGATTTGAAAAGTGAAACGCCATTTATCGTGAAACGCTACAAAATGGCAAAACGAAATTAATAGCCCCTCTGGGCTAAAACTTATTTTTAAAAGTATCACACTAATAGTAGTACAACTACTGAAAAAATATTATAAATCTATTTTATAGTTTTATAATTATTATAATTATTATTAATTTTTATTTTACAGTAGTGTGAATTTCGCGTAATAATGAACGACATTTTTGTGTTCACAGTATTATTCGTAAGGTATTTAACTGTTAGATTTTAAAGTAAACGTAATTCTTGCTGCACATAAATCGAGTAGAAGCTTATCGGATGTCTATATTTGTATTAAATGAAGAAGGTTTATGTGCTTGATAAACTTATTATCTTCTACATTTTTAAAGCGTACAATTACAATTTATATCTATAATTTCAGGAATAGTATAACCTTTCTTTTAGTAGAAATTGCGTTCTTGTTTTCTGAATGTGGCTCCAAATACTCTCTCAGTTCATCCCAAATTAAAATTGGCAATCTGAAATACGCAATGAAAACATCTTTTGGCAGAGCAAAAGCATCAACATATTTTCTATAAATTCGCCACCGATTCAGAGATCTACGACCGTATTCTTCGTTTAAATATGAAAAAATCAGCGGCGAAAACACATATAAAGCCATTGTCTACTTAGTACGTCAACTGGACAACCCTGATTGACGACGCGGCAACATTTTTTCACGCGCTTTCGACAACTTCCGTACTCAGAGAATATAGGATGTCGGGCAGACCTGTTTTTTACTAGCAGCGACATCTGGCGGCCCACAACTTGCTGTCGACTCTCATAGCGTAGAATAACCGTCCTGGTTTCAATGTTAGCTGAATATGGTTTACAAACAAGGGCCATTTTCATCTAGATAATGTCATTAACGGACACAACTTGCGATTTTAAGGTACTGAAAAACCACATTTGTCTTGCACATGACCACTTCATTGCTCCAAACTTACCACTTGGACTGCACACTCCTGTAAAGGCATCATTGGGCGATTTTTCCTGCGAGAAAGGGTGATGACTCATTGCTACATTTCGCTTTTGAAACTACTTGTCGCAACTCAACAAGCACGAGATGATCAAGCAGAAACAGCGTGGTTGATGCAAGATGTGCCTTGCACATACCATATGCATGTTTTTAGCTTTTTGGATGAATACTTTGAAGATAGAGTTACTACATTGAACTATTCAACAGTTAAGAAGAAAGGAATCGAATCACCTCTTTATTCACCTGACCTAGCTTCCTGCCTACTTTTTCTGGGACACACTGAAAGACATTGTTTGCCATAACAATCCTCGATCACTCGATGCAGGAGGCTATTTGTCAAGGTGTTACGTCATTTTCCAGTGATGCACTACAAAGAGTGATTGAGAATTTCATTTTTTATCACATTTTGAATAGCTTTTGATATGAATGCAATGAAAGTTTGCATTTGCCACTATGCACAGCATAGTTATGTTAATGCCACCTGCAGTGCCATCTATCAGCACAATTTGTATGTTTTAGGTTTTTGTATCTGGTTCTTACGTTTTTTAGTAAACATACCACTCATTTCCTGCTTTTATCTATCATCATTTTCAAGCTATTTATTTTCAAATTTAGGGGTCCTTTGTGAAACACCTGTAAGTAAGGAAGGAAGGTCAGTTCACCACGAGCTATTGTGAAGCATGCCAAAAATTTGCTTCCTTTTAATTCCTTTTAAACATTAGCATAGGGATGGGCAGAGTTTTCCAGGGTACGGGCTACTTCTAATTTTTTCAAGGTGTTGCAGTCCACCCAGCAGCATAGGTGTGGTAAGCCAAAAAAAAAAGGGTCTACAATATTTATTATAACATAATAATTACAAAATATGTACTTACCTAACACTACCTTAAAAAAACTTTCCCATGATTTTCCCATGCTTTTAAAACCATGCTTAAAGCAAAATACAAACACGATAATAATAGCCACAAATATAATAACTTCAATTGATACACTTCTTATCAAATAATTCAAAGTAAATTTAGAAATAAACCATTTTCATCTAAAAGTTAGTTCTCGTAGTTGTAATTAGAAGACTTAGTCCATATACTATCCACTAATCTTGAATATCTCGGTATATACATCTAATTAATAACTGCTAACCTTGCACTGGATTCTAAGTGGTCTTCTGTGAGATGTCTTAATTATATTCATCATTGAAAATGCAGATTCACAGGTAGGTACAGCCAAGGAGCAATGTTAAATGAAATAAAACTTTCTTTTTAAATTAGGATAGTTTACATCATCCATTAGATTCCAAAAGTTGAACTATGTGCTTTTAAAATTTTGCCATTTCGACGGAGAAAAACTTCATTTTATTCAAGAGATAAAGAAAATATGTAAATTATATTTTCAGTTATTGTGCACTTTCAACGAAAGGCATGGATGTCTTGGTAGCCAAAATGCCTTGGTAGTCCACCAGGATCGACTCGATGTCCCCTGCACTAGCAGTTTTTCCTTTATTATTTATTGGAAACGTCTTTGGCCTATTTTTATGTGTGTTATGTATGTATCTATCTGTGCTTTTGCCTTGCTTGTGTTCCATCTAGTATTTAAAAAACATAACATTAAATAAACCGACACATCTCCACAAAACTGATCACTCATTTACAAATAGATGGAGGTTTTTCCCTACCTGGCAGTACAGCAATCTGTTTAAAGTACATAGATTATACGAACTAGCTCCTCGGATTCCGAGCTCTCAGTGTTCCGACACTATTCAGAGTCATGATTGGATCTAATTCCAACGAGTCTTCATTATTCAATCTTTCAAATCTAGCTAGTTTCTCAGATTCCCGGCTCTCAGAGCTCCAACTATTTGGAGTTGACACTCTTCGGAGCCGTGACTGGATCTAATTCTCACGAGTCTTCATTATTAACTCTTTCAAATCTAACTCCTGCAGAGTCTTGATCATTTGCATTTTTCGTTTCTTCAGAGCTGCTCCTTTGAGTTCCATTTCAACTCTTTGAATACTGTGTCACACTATAGCTATGTATATTAGGTATTACCTTTTTATATAATATAAATTTTTATTTTTATTATTTACTGTAATATGTATGTAAAACAATTATAATTTTATTTATTTACTTATTTTTACTATTGTCTTGTAAGCAAGAGCTGTGAATTAGTCTTTAATCTTCTTTAGAATTAGTACATATTTATAACATAAACTTTTTTATCTAATGTATTTTTTTAAGGTTGCAGAACAAAATATGGATCCTACCGAATCAAAGAACCTCAAGAGATATTTGGTATCATTTTTTTCAAATTTTATATAAAAAAAAGGGGGGGAATGCCACTATTGTCAGCAAACAATTTCCTGTTCTTCGGAATATGCCTCTAATCTAAAAATGTATTTTTACATTGTGCTTTGTAGTAGCAGCAAAATATCAATTATAGTAATAAAATAATGTAATCTTAATAAAAATGAGTTTAGTTATTATTTAAATTTTAACATTTTTTATTCTAGAATTTTATTGTTCTATGTAGAAAGATTTTTTAGGGAATCTTGAAAATACAGTTGAAAGAAATCAGTTCAGGGACTGAGTGGTTTTTTTAAGTTGATTCTAGTGATATTGTTCAATTCTTTCTGCTTTTTCCCAATCTTTGCACACTACCATTGATCCATGCCTATTCCAAAAGCATTAATCTTCAGTGAGCGAATGTTTCCAATCTGATTCCTTAAAAGAAGTTTTGCCTGTCTCTAGCTGACAATATGTGATGCTGTGGAAGCTGTTGCCTGTCCACACGGATAAATGTCATCCTGCACATGAGCCAACAAGTTGCTGACCCAGGTTATGTGATATGACTCTGTGTTGCATCATATACCATGAGTACAATCACACGAATCTGTCCTCTTCCGCATAAGTGGCACAAGGCTGCTGAGATACTACATGGCATTTAGTACGGTCTCCCCGGACTAATCGATTCTATATTCGCTTGACAGTCATGGGATCCTGAATAACACAAGTAGCAATGTTGTAGAACAATAAATCATAGCCCAATAAGCCAGGATTGAATTTCAGCACGTACTGGTAGGACTTTCTCCTTCTTTACACAAGATATAACAAAACTTTTACAGAAAACATCTAACATTTAACTTGAATTTCCAAATGAGATTTTCCTGCTGTGCCATTTTCCCATTTATACACAAATATAGATAGCATTATTCATACCAGCTATGTGTACATAGACTGGAATGGTAATTTTTTACATTTTCTAACACATAGCACCACCTTTCATACAAATTTGACATCTGTTGGAAGCTGCTACGAATTTTAATGGCTTGTAGTATTATCAATAAAATTTATTACAAAAATTTAACTAAAAAAACTTTTATATTTACTCTGAAAAGATGAATTACTTTAACCTTTGAAAGCATTTTATGATTTTAAAGTCTGGCAATATGGGTGAAACTCCTAGTCTTAAAAACTGGATTCAAATTTATACCCTTCAGATTATAAATGTATAAATAAGAAATAAAAGCTATTTTTAGTATTACACAATATAAAAAGTAAATAAAAATATTTACCCTTCCCAAAAAATTAATTACCTCTCAGTCCCAGAAAAGGATGATCTCTCTATCTTCTTGAGACCTTCATCGGCCCAAAAAAGATAATTATCAAGAACATCTACAGTCAGAGAAACAGGTCTATCCAGATCAGTTGAAAACAATATTCTTCTCATGTGCCCATCTATATTTGCTCTCTCAATTAAAGGTGGATGAATCATATTAACCCAAAATAAAAATCTGAAATAATTGTAAAATTATACTGTAAATATAAAAGTACACCATAAGCATAACTATGCAGTTCACATAACATTTTACAAAAATCAAAAGCTTCTTTACCCTTTAGCTGGGTGAAGAGCTAAATATCGAGGTCTATCATCTTCATCTCCAATCACAGTACCAACAGCAGAACCTTTCATTGTTGTCACATTTATTGTATTATGCTGAGAACAAGACCAAAAGACCACACGGGAGAATGAATCAACAGCAATATCATAGGGATGAATATTATCATTTGGGTTGGGTACAACAACTGAAACCTAAAACAGAAAATTCCGTTATTACAATATGACAATGTTTTATTTATTAAAGCCACACGTTTTGGTGACTTTTTTTCATGGGGGGCTTATTTCTTTGGTGCCAGGTGTTGCCAAATTAGTCTGGCTTCTTTCCTGGCGGTAACTGTCTCTGTAAAAATTGCTGACACAAACACATTTTTCATCTCATTTAGTTCTCTCTCTCCTTCCCCCCCCCTGCAATATATTTTGCAGTTTAAGATTTGCCAAGAGCTCAAGAAGTGTTATCCTCTTTCTTCACAAAGAAGTGAACCTCATGAAATTAAATAGAAGATTTTTCACAAAGAAATGAACCTCATGAAATTAAATAAAAGAAGAAGAAGTGAACCTCATGAAATCAAAATGCAACTTGAAGCAGAAATAGCTATGCAGCTTCCATCCCAAAGCCTTTTTCTTCTATTACTGCTGGAATTCCATTACTTCCCTCCCTACTGGGAAAGATGCCCTTTTTCTTCCATTACTGCTGATTTATTTACTTATATGGAATTTATAAAATTTTGCAAAGAAGCTTTTTTCAAACTAACCACAACATATCAGTTAACTGGAATAATTACATATAAGAAGTATGCGCTATTCCTTGTCATCTCATCCTAACATAAAAATAAGCGGATACCAATGATCAAGCCTAGTTATAGGGAAAGCTATAAGCCAATTAAGAAAAATATCACTTTTCTATTATTACAGTAATCAGATTTTTACTGCACTGTGTATAAACCAGAAGATATAAAAATAATAATTTTTTGTTCAAAAAAATTTTTATTTTCATATACATCACTTAACACTCCTTTTAAGGACCTCTCGAGTTCCCTATAAACCATATCCAGAAAGCACAATTATTTGATTAATGAACAGATTTCTGATCTCACAAAAATATTTTCATAGCCATATGGGGTGTCATTCAAGTCAATTAATTCCTTTCATAATTTTTTGCAACTTACTTCCAAACATATGTTCATAAGGTGTACTGTGATTTAAAATACAACTAAAACAATGAATAAACTTAAGACTTTTCCATCATTGCACTTGTTATAAAAAGATCAATAATATAAAGATGCTTTAATATATGAAACAAACATGTTACTTACTCCTTTAAACCTCTCAGCGTTACGGCCAGAAAATTCCATATAGAAGGCTACTTTCCACTTGTCTTATTCATTAAACATAAAAATTTCTGCTAGCTTTTAATGTATCTCATTTTGGTTTCAATATGTATTGGAAGGAAAGAAATCAAGGTACAAAATGAGAGAGTCATTTTTTAATTAAAATCAGGAAAATACCACTTATTCATGACATTTTGATGAAATTTGAAATTTTAGGGCTAAATCCGTAATGCTCAGAAGGTTAAAATTCATATATGCTTACTGGAAAAAGAATGAAATTAATGCAACATTTCTTAAACTGTGGGTCACGACTCTTAAACGGGATCCCAAAACAAAACATTGAGAGTCAAAATTAAATTCAGAACATGAATTTAATATAACATTAATCACAATCCCTTCGCTATCTTTAATTTGATACACTGCATTTTCTTTGTAACTATAAAATTGCAAATACTAAGTTCAGCTGTAAATTGTAATTACATATTGAAACATACCACAAAATGCATCATGACAGAGGTGTTGCGATGTAATTTCGGCATCTAAGTTATTTCAGAATTAAAATATCATGCACATGTACAAGACATAATGTCCTGTACCATGCAAGCATGCCAAAAATTAGGTTGGCACCATTATGACTAGTGTGAGATATTTTTTCAGCCAAACAAAGCCAGCCAATTTTTTTGCCAAACAATCTTGTTGCCAACAGAATTTCTGAAATGAGCAATGACCAATTCGAGCAACTTATTATTAGACTTAAAGACCAAAAATTACTATTATAATTACATGAAACAACTGATATTTAAAAAATAGCTCAGTTGTTAGTGTATGTTAGACACAAGGTCCAGTAAATCAAACTCCCATATTTGAAAATGGTGCCGTGCGAGTTGTGGTGGGATACGGCAGCAGAGGGGATATAAATCGATAGCAGTAATACGTGGCATTTGCAGTAAGCATCGTGTGTTTGTTGTGGAAGAGTATATTCGTAATGGTGGTTCTGTAATTACTACTCAGTGGCCATTTCATACTTGGTTCAAACCTGGCTAACATGATCATGTTCCAGAGAGAAAAACTATTCACATTTGGGTATTAAACTTTAAACCAACAGGTTCCACACTGAAAAAGAAATCGCCTAACTGACCTCGGACTGTAACAACGTTGGAAAATGCGACATGTCTCCAAAGCATTCAGCACTTAAACATGCAAGTGCCATGGGATTGTCTGACAGAAGTATAAAAAAACATCCTGCAAAGAGATCTTCCCATACACCCATACAAAATGATGGTTACCGAAGTGGGAGAAATTCTGACACTAGCAGAGCTGCATGTCAGGATATTCTTCAGAATTCCCCTGACGCTGTTTTGATTTCATCTAATGAGACCCACTTGTCAGGTAATGTAAATTTAAAAAAAATCTGCTACTAGGCACCAGAAAATACCTAGGAACTTCACCTATGACCGTTCACAGCCTTCATGTGATAGTTTGGCATGCTGTTGCTGTATTTGGAATCTGGAGTCCTAATTTTTTCAAAGAAGATGGGCTAACAATAACAGTTACTACGCATTAATACTGTTACATGATTCCAACCTAAGTTAAACCAGTTTATTGGGACCATGAAGAGGGAGAAGTCTGGTTCCAACAAGACGGAGTCACAGTTCACACTTTCAGACATTCTCTAGCAATTCTGAGAGAGTTTTTTTCCCTGGACATCTTCTCTCTTTGCAAGGAAACATCAGGTGGTCATCCAATTTATCACCTTCTGATTTTTTTTCAGGGGACACTTAAAGGTGTAGGTGTATAAGCATCACCCAGACAGTGGCTCCCGGTAAAGGCTTCATCAATGTGTCAACAATGGAGAGAGACACCATTAACCACACATATTTTTTGCAAGCAAATAATGTAAAATAGCATCATATTTGTTGTTCCCAAATAAAACTGGATATTTTTTAATCTTTCTTTGTTTGCCTTTTGAAATTTAGAATGTCAATTTTTCAGACCCAGTACATTTATAAAGAAAACATCAATAAAGAATTGTTACTTTGTCATCCTTTGGAAGAATATACAAGAGGAAAAGACATATACAGTACAAAGTCCATAATCCGGACTCGTGGGGACTTCGGTGATTCCGGATTAGGGAATTTTCCGGATTATAGATCATCAATTTAAATCTGGTAAGATGGCATGCAGAAATTATACAATTAAAAATATGAAATAAAGAGCAATTATGATCTAAAGGGTATCAAAATTTACAAAAAAAAAAAAAAAAAAAAAAGCTTAATATTTATTTGTTTACTTTATTAAACATTTCTTTCAATGTAAGTTGTTTAAGTTGCTTCGTTTTTTGTGCTTTCTCTTTAAATTAAACATTGGGAGTCAAAATTAAATTCAGATACATGAATTTAATATAACATTAATCACAATCCCTTCGCTATCTTTAATTTGATACACTGCATTTTCTTTGTAACTATAAAATTGCAAATACTAAGTTCAGCTGTAAATTGTAATTACATATTGAAACATGCCACAAAATGCATCATGACAGAGGTGTTGCAATGTAATTTTGGCATCCAAGTTATTTCAGAATTAAAATATCATGCAAACGTACAACACATAATGTCTTGTTCCATGCAAGCATGCCAAAAATTAGGTTGGCACCATTATGACTAGTGTGAGATATTTTTCCAGCCAAACAAAGCCAGCCAATTAATTCTATAAACAGACATAATTTCTTGTTCAGTTACAAAGTTCCACTGTTCCTGTAATTGCTGTGTCAAGAATACAGACTAACTTGTCAATCGAAATTTTTCGTTTTCAATAACCTCTCTGCCACTTTCTTCACTATTGGAAGCAGTATTTTCTGGATCTAGAACCATACTACAGATTTCACCATCCGTTAATTGATTGATGATTGGGGCATTGTCGTCGCAATGAAAAACTTCTGTTATGTCATCTTCATTTATTACCACTTCTCCACATTTCTTTACAAAATCCAATAACTGGAAAATTTCACCTTTAGTTAGCGATGTCCGAAAACCTTCAAATTCGTGGCTATCATCTTCATCGTCCTCACCATGAAATATGGTAGCTGGCCATAAATTATGCCAAGCATTTTTTAACGTTTCTGGAGACACATCCTTCCAATGTGCATGCACATGTGTAAAGCATACAAAAAAAAAAAAAAAAGTTTGTGGCTTTGAGGTCCGGATTATAGATCATTTCGAATAATGAACGTCCGGATTACGGACTTTTTACTGTATAGTAAAAGATGACAAATTTTAAAACTGAAGGTTTAAAACAGAAAAACTACTCGAGTATGCATAGATGATGCAAAGGCAATGGCGGGTTAAAATGTTTATGTTAAAACATTTGTTAAAACTGTTGGTAATGAATATGCAACTTTTACACACTGTCTGATCCATCAAGATGACCCTGAAACATTAGGATGGAATTGAACAATGTGATTCGGAATGCTGTCAAAATTATAAACCTTATTAAAAGTAGTACCTTTAACAGCTGTTTATTTTCAAATCTCTATAAAGATATGGATTCTGAATGCAAAAATCATTGCTACGCACAGAAGTAGCACGAACATTAAGAAGGCAAAGATTATCATCATTAAAAAAAAATATTAAATTTTTAACCAAAAATATCTGATCTTACTGCTTTTTGGCAAAATGACTTAAAACTATCAAAGTTGTCTACTTATCAGATCTTTTGAGAAACTAAACAATCTCAACTTGCCTCTTCGATGAAAAATTAGTAATATATTCTTTTGAATGATAAAAATCGAAGTTTTATTTAAAAGATAAGTTTTATAAAAAAAGGTCAATATTTGGAAAAACATGGTGAAAAACTATTCATTCAAAATTCACAATTTTAAAACATAAAAAAAAAAACTGTAAATTTTCATTGCAAAATTATTATAGATCATTTAACACTGTAACATGAGCATATTATTTACCAAAGAAATAATTTTTTTATGGAAAGAAACTTATTTTTTTATGCTTCTTACATCTAATATCTGAGGTAAAAAAAAAAAGCGTCATGAATGAAAAATGTTTAGTGCTGGATTAATACATAGGTCAACTCCTGTAACTTCTAATACATTCTAAATAAATAAATATTAAAATATACTAACTTTAGTTCCATTGATGTGGCTTTTTCTCACAGTTTTTGTGCGACCATCAATCCAATAGACAAAACTCTCAACAGGGTCATAATCAATTGCCTTGACATTTTTTATCCCATGAATTGGAAGAGTAATATCAGGCGAATCAAAAGTGTCTACTAAGAATCTATTAATACTGTTCCGCTGGCTGAAAAGCATGAAACGTTGAGGGACTGAAAAGAAAAAAGCCTTTAGTTTTAAAATAAGTTATATATATTCATACAGCTTCTTGGATGCACAAAATTAATACATACATAATTTTAATTAATCCATTAAAGACGACATAATTAAAAATATCATTTTTAAAAAACTTCAAAAGTTTATATAACATGCAGATTTTTAATTTCAAAAATTTGATATTACAATATAAAATTAGAAAACAAGTGAATTTTTAAATATATACAAAATTGGGAGCTTGCAAGTAACATTTTTTAATTCAAGTATGACTAAAACTCATCCACAGTAAATATAAAGATATGAGTCGACATATTTCACAAAAATAAATTGATTCATATCTATGAAGGTCATATTTTTGTTAGTAACATTTCGCATTAGCTTCCTGAAAATTGAACATACAAAACCTCTGAACACCTGTAATTTAACCAGACACCAAACCTTCAGGAACTGGCTGACGATAAAAGTGTTGTGGTTTTCCATACATGCTCCATAGATACCAGCCGATTTGTCATGAAGGCATCCCTTGCTTTATGAAGATAATCCTCACATGCTTTGCTTTATTTAATTAAACATATACATGAATACACTTTTGATATACAATGACATTTTATGCTGCAACTTGAGCACCAACAGAAGATTGATTATATACACTTTAAAATAGTAATAATAATTTTAAGTAGCATATACATTACATATGACTTTGTTTTCATAAAAGTGCTCTAAAAAGTTTTATATATAAACTACTTTACTAACACATAAAATTTATCTATAATATAAGTTAATATTAAGTCTTAAAAAACACTAGCTTTATTTTACTAGGTTACCACATGGCAATCTAATAACTAGTTTTTATATAATCATATATCGATAGTCAGAACACTAATATTAGTCATGAACCATTATTTTTATTATAAGTTAAATGTATTGTTCCTGTGCAAAGTCCAATTAGTCTTATACAATATTTTTTAATTTCTTTAAAAATAATCAAAAATTTTATGGACTACTACTACTGTAACTCACAGATTAAATAAATCAATTGTAAAAAGAAAGTTTGAGGGCATGCATTCATGCAGGTTCTAGTTTTACCCTTATACCATCACTCCCTACTACACTGTTGTTTCTGAAAATAAAAATATTTTTTTATAAAAATAAAGAGCAGAAAAATTAAATTTTAAAAAAGTCTGAAGTAGTAGTTTAAGCACTCAGCATGACTTACAGCTCTCGTTAAAATGATTATGCCAAAGCATGTAGTGTCCACATCCAAGATCACACTTAAGACTTTTACAGGCCCTAAAATATTTTGATTTCCTGCATACATTTACAGTATACACATTTAAGAGTTCTACAAGCCCTTTTCATGCCCCATATACATTTACAGTATAATGCCAGTCCTCCACTTTCTGCACTAGCTATACCATGGTAAAGTTACAGCTAAATTTAGCTGCACAATGGGAAAACCTGCAGTAGGAAATTTTATGGTGCCCTTTCCTTGATGCCCAAACATGTGCTTATTTTGCTTAATAGTTAATCCAGCTCTCTCTACCTCTCTTATAAGCGATGCTTTCATGAAGAGCTTTCACAGAAAAACTGGCTCATTGCAATACTTATGCTTATGGAAAATTTCAAATAAGCATACAAGCTAAAATGTTCTCTTAACTTAATAAACTTTTCAAATGATTTCACCCCATATATACCATACTGATCTGGTTTTTTTTTTTTTTTTTTTTTTTTTTTTTTTTTTTTTTTTTTTTTTTTTTGTCCTTACAAACTTTATTGTCCTTTAAAGAGAGACAGTAGTTTTCAAGGGCAAAAATAGCACATATTTTAATACATACAATAATTGCAAAGGTTTAACCCTCTGGCTGATCATGCCCTGGGCAACTCAAAGGTAGCAAAATCTACTCATCCTGCGGGCATGTGTTTTTCTTCCTTTATTGAGAAGCACATTCCGTTTTTTCCCCCATTTAACCACTGAATTAAATTATATACAGTATTAGATGTTTAGTTTATGTTTTTGCCAACAGATATCATTAGCTGTCCACTAAATTGCGACATTTGAAGGCACGTGGTATAACGCTCAAACTCCACTTTTTATGCTTTTTTCTTACAGAAATGTCTGTTAGAAAACATTCAACAATTATCTTGATTATTTAATTAAATCATTGAATTATTAATTATATTTATTGATTATATTAATAATTAGATTGATTATTAATTAGATTTATTAAATCTGGTGCAAAGACAGTGAAGTTAGACTTTGCCTTGAACTCTGTCATACTAAACTGCATTTCTAAGGTATTTTTTCCTCAGTGCTTTATATTTTTTTTAATTTTATATATGTCACTTTTTTTATTATGCAATAATAGAAATTAACTGTACTTTGACTGAAATTTATTTTAAAAAATTTGGGGTGGGTGATAACATCTGAAATTGGTTTTTCTGGCAACTTAGTTTCTCATGATAAAAATCTATATAAAACAATATTTTCTAGAAAGGAAAAATGCATTTTTCAATTCTCCAATATATGCAGATTTAAAATATGAAAAAAAAAATTGCACAATTTTTGAAGCGATTTTGGTCCCCAAATTGAGCGGTTTGTCAGAGGCTTAGTATATTTTTTGATGGATTTTTTTATGCTTCAGTACCAAAATCAGTACCAAAAAAATATAAAAATGTCAATAACTTTTTAGTATATGAACTGAAATATTGTCACTAAAAAAGTATCCGAATTTGATGTCATAACCAGAAAATTAATAATAAAGTTATAGTCAGGAAGATAGCATTTTAAATAGACATCAGAAAGAGATCTCAATGAAAGTGACGTTATTTAATAATTCTATGTATCAAACTAAGGAAAAAATCTGAAAATATTTTGAAAAATATATTTTTAAAATTATGTATAAATTTTTTATTTAGTTTATTGAATCAGCCAATATATTATTATTATTATTTCATTTTTGTGAAATTTAGGAATTTTAGGTTTAGTACATGCTCGTGTATTTTATAAATTTATATCATCAAATAATAATCATAATATTTTTAATGCACCCTAAAAGATCCAAAATATTTTATAAACTGAGAAAAAGGGTTTAAAAATATATATATATTAAATAAACAAAAATATACATTGATCTTGTTAACTGAAAGAAACCTGTTACTTGAAGAAATGTTACATTTGTAACTTTTATCCTCATTCTTTTAGTCTAACGTGCATCTGAATTAAGTAGCGCACAACTAAATTTCTATTTTCAGTAATTTTTGGTATGCATATTCTGCTTTGAAACCTGTGCACTTGTACTACAGGCTAGTTTTTTATTTGAACTTATCAAATACTTTTAATTTCAGTCTCATTAAAAGCTTTAACCCTTTGACAGTTGCAAGATTAAGCAATTCTTTCTTCCTAAATATGAATATCTGTCACATGTGGTGGGAACAGACAGCACTTATTTTCTCCCTAAATACTTAATTAAATGTATCAAACTAATCTCTGAGCAAAAAAATAAAGACCTTTTTGAAAATGAAAATATGCAAGCACCTTTAATGGAAAGTTACTACCTTTTAATTCCATATATCAGTCAAAAATTTTTGGAACTTTTCTAAAGCTAAATTGTGGAGTTGACTTATATATGGGTCTGTTCATATTGCATAAAGCACAGGTACATTTCCGTTAGCTGGATGCCAGGGATAAATCACGGAATATCACACTTTTTTACTTCTTTAGCTTATATTTTAAGTTTATGAAAAAATTAATTTTAAATAAAATGACTTATTTATTTTATAAAAATGAATTGTTTTGTTTTAAAAATTGTTTATATTGTGCTTTTTATTTTTTAACCTTCTCTCTTGTTTTTCATTTATAGGAAAATGCCAAACATCCATTTTTTTTTTTTAATCAATCATCTAAAAAATAAATTTTTTCAAGACTGAAAACTATTATTTTCCTTCAAATATTTTACTCTCTTAGTGTTATCAATATGAAGTCCAATGACATGTTAAAAATAAAAATTCTTTATAAAAATCTTTAATGAACTAAAAACTATTCTCATGCTTGTAATGTAACAAAAGCAAAGAGTAAAAGTTTAGCTACGGCCAAAGTTTAGCTACTTAAAATTAGTTTAGTTCCTTATTTTCTTAAGTCCAAGTGGAGGCTTAAAGTTTAGCTACTTAAAATTAGTTTAGTTCCTTATTTTCTGTCTTAAGATAAAGTCCAAGTGGAAGCTCTCCTGTAAGACCGAGAGGGGATGTCTGTAGCATTTCTTCGAGCGAATAAAAGTTTGTTTTAACCCTTCTTTGGACTCAAATTTTATAGTTGCAAGATGACCAGCGAACAGTCACTATATACTTCACTAAAATTCCAGTAGCCAAGGACATCTAAATTAACTATATAAATTTATAACACAAAATTTATAAGAAACTATTAATGTTTCTTTTTCTTTTTTTTTTTTTCTTTTTTTCTTTTTTTTTTTTTTTTTAATGAGAATAGAATACCAACTTACATATACATGTCTTATTATCAGAAGCTAAACTATAATGTGTTGGACATCCACAACGATGGGTATAACTCTTATGTTGAGCTGACACGGGAAGAGCCAAACATAGGTGAGTGCAACCTCCATTATTAACAGCACATGGATTCCAACCTGAAATGAATACATATTAATAATTATTTCATATAATCAATTACTCTAGAATAACACTAAGGTTTTTAAAGTACATAATTTATAAATTTAAAAATTAGGAATTTTAGATAAATAATACAGAATGTATCCCAAATGTTTTGCCTCGAATAAAGGTTCAATCGCCCCTCCAACAAGCATGAAATGAAAATGGTGATATTTCAACAAAAGATGTCTTGCAGATGCTTCTTTAATCACAACAGATGCTTCTTTAATCATAACATAACTAGGCTTAGAGGGAGGGGGAAAGCTTTCAGGTGGAGAAAATGAAAGTCAGTAATACAAGTTATCATGAATTAAAAATTCCTCAAGCAACAGCATAAAACATTTCACAAAAGTGATAACAGATGTACTCCTGAAAGGTATTTACAAAAAAAAAAAAAAAAAAAAAACAATCTACAGAGCATCACAACTAAATGATACATACCTTCATTTAATCTTCATTAATTAAAGAACTTATTTCTTTATTAGAATAATAAGATAAAGCTAATGGTAATGCAGTTTCCTTACCTTGACATGAAATTTCTAAAATTTTCAGTAAGTCATATTCCATTTACAAGTTCTTTAAAGAATATGCACACGGAACAGATTCAGACACCTTAAACAAACCTTCTGCGAAAAACTAATTAAACTGTTGTCATGTAATTCATTGACTGGACATATACACACCAAATGATTTGAAAACAAAGAACTAGTGAGAAAAAAAATCAGTAAAAAAAACTTATATATAATATGAAGTTTAAAAACATATAAATCACCATCTTCCATATTACCATCTTCGAGTACTATTATCAAGTAATATCCAGCTATTACACAAAATAACAATCTTCGTCTATTATCAGATTTCTCATCAATGCTAATGATGGTATTCATGCAAACAATTATGTGTTGTCAACAATCTTCAAAGGAACATATTAGTAAGCATGCAGCATTCTAAAAGAAATAAAACTGCCTTCCACAAAATTATTCATAGTGCTCCTATAGCAGTCTAGGTGAAACATTCTCTTATGTAATTAGTAAAATAATACATTTTAATTAATGACTAATATATCACTAAATATAATTTACCCATATGAAAACTTAATTATTTTACACAATTTACTTGATGCATGCATTATAACATAAGAACATCCAATAATAACAGTAAAACCACTCTGAAGTAGCAAGCTTAAGAGCTTGCTATCTGGCTGACACATAATGAAAATTCAAACATTAAATCGAACCTCAAAATTTAAAATAAAATGAGCTATGATTATGATAAGATGGAAAGAAAGTACTCAAGTTAAAGAGTTCTCGAATCTCCTGTACATTATTATTACACAGATTTTTCTACCACGAATAATATAAAAGTCTCTGAATTGTATGTTCTCTCACAATTATATGTCCATTTTCAGTGACTCAGGCCAAAGGTATAATGAATAGTGTAACTTGAAATGGAAGAAATGGCAAAGTAAAATTTTAAATCATACAAAAAAGCAATCTTGAGTTGATGTAGATTTTGAATAGAATTATTGATTTCAAGGGCAATCAGACATAGATATTTGTTCTTCAGAAGGGAGTAATATATATATACAGTCAAAAGTCATTAATACGGACTCGTCGGGACTTCGGCGATTCCGGATTACTGATTTTTCCGGATTATAGATCATCAGTTTAAATCTTGTAAGATGGCATGCAGAAATTACAAAATTAAAAATATGAAACCATAATTTAAGAAATAAAGAACAATTATGATCTAAAGGGTATCAAAATTTACAAAAAGAAACTTAATATTTATTTGTTTACTTAAACATTTAAACATTTCTTTCAATGTAAGTTGTTTAAGTTTCTTCGTTTTATGTGATAATACTTTCTCTTTAATTCTATAAACAGACATAATTTCTTGTTCAGTTACAAAGTTCCGCTGCTCAAGTCCTATAATTGCTGTGTTGAGAATACCGACTAATTTGTCAATCGAAATTTTTTCTTTTTCAATAACCTCTGTGTCACTTTCTTCACTATCGGAAGCGAATTATAATGACGAGGAATTTGATTTAAATCATATCAAAGTACATCGAGATGAAGTACTATATTTAGTAAGGAATTATAAGCCAAATAAAATAAAAATATCTGCCCTGAAGATAAAGATAGTGCTGACAGATCAATTTCCAATTCATCGCCTCGGCGTCCCCCCTTCCCCCGCGCGCCGCAGAGCAGTGTGAAATTGATAAACAGATTTCGGAATGGTTAGAGAAAAAAAGGATATGTCTTTATCCATTTTTTGCAGCAATTCCACTTTTTGTTTGATGGACATCGAAACATACTTTCGCTTTGTAGATCCTTTGGGAGCATCTTAAATTCTATTTGACATAATCGAAAGTTCAAGCTTACTTTTATAAAATTGCTCTAACAGTCTGCAAAAAATAATAAGCCGGATCCAATTCGAAGATTAAGGAACAACGCAATCTGCAACATTAACTGAATTAGATAAATTTAACTTAGCTTATACCATCCGTTATACATTAAACGTGCATGCGTAAACGTATCATGCGCATGCGCACATGCATATTCGTAGCCGTAAAGGTCTTACGTGCACGCGTAAACACGACGCATGCGCAGAAAGTTTGCAGCTTTGAAGTCCGGATTATGGGTGTCCGAATTAACGACTTTTGACTGTATATATAAAGATGGGAGAAACAAAAATTATTTTAAACCAAGAGCAAAGCGAACAAAAAAAAAAAAGAATGTCTGTCAAAAAAATTTATGAAATATGAAAAATTATTAAGATATCAAAGTTTTTTAAAGCTTTAGGAAAAACTGGATTGGAAGTAACATCATTAACTAAAGATAAATTTCTGTGAATAAAAAAAGCTTTAAAGAAATTTGACCAACTGAAGAAGCTATATTTAAAATTCTTGCAGAAACAAAATCAAAATTGTGATTAAATACCCAACTAGGATTACCTATCAAAGATTTGTTCATTTCTCTTTTTTTAATACAAGATTCATGTCCTTACAGAGATATTTTAACACTCTTTTACACAACAACCATTTTTACATTAAAAGCAAAGTAAAAATGAAATATAGTGCCATCTGTCAAAAACAGTTTTCAAGCTTGCAAATTGAGATATTCAAATTTTGAAAGCAAAGAAAAACTTAATTGTAATTAATATTATTAACTAAAGATAAATTTTTGAGAGTGAGAAAAGCTTCAAAGAAATCCAATTCACCAACTGAAGAAGCTTTATTGATAATTCTGGCTGAACCAAAATCAAAATATAGAGTTTAAATGGCTAACTGAGATTAGTTACCAAAGATTTGCTTACTTCTTCTTTTTAAATACAATATTTGTGTTGAGTGAAATTTTAACATCTTTTTATTCAAATTATAGTAACAAAAAATGCTATAAATTCCAAAAAAGATTAAAATCAGAAATGAAGCCTTTATTTTATTTTGCACAATTACCATCACCTGCTGCTGCTATCAGCGCACGAATGGATTAGGTTTTGAACTATACGTTACTTAGTATTTATTCTTATATATATGGAGAGCTACAGAGCATATACTTAGAGCTAGATTTTATTACTTTAAGTCTTAAATTTTCATAATTTTTTAAATAGTAGCTCAATATATATGTATTTGCATATATACATTCACACAAAGAGATATTACAATAAAAAAAGTACCTACAACACTTTTAAAATCTTACCAGATTGCCTTGAAGTATGATAAACCAAAATATCCATAACATGATCTAAATTTTTCTGAATCACTGTTCTGTTTAGTCCATTGGTTTTATTTGCTCTTTCAATAGTACTTGTTTTCCAATCTGTCCAATATATAAAATCTTGATACTGAGTCAAACCATATGGATCAAAGAGATTATCATCAATGATAGACTGGCGGTGATTTCCTGTTTCAAAAAGAATTTATATCACTTTCAATACTAATTTTAAAACAGAGGTTTTGAGTATTATACATATTTAAATATAAAATCTACACATAGCTTAACAAAACAATTCTTTATGAAATAAAAATCTTAATTTAGTTAAAATGAAAATTAACTTTAAAATACATTATGACAAACGTGATCTTAAGATTAAAATGTTATTTCAAGTGAAAAAAAGTATTAGAAACTGAAAACTCTAAGAAGCAAATTTAATTCTAGCATTAAAAAAAAAAATTATTTAGCAAAAATGTACCTGCTAAGTCAGATGAGTCAATTTTCAAAGCATTAATATCAATCCAATATAATCTTCTTTCTACATAATCAATAGTTAGAGAATTAGGCCTCCCTAATTTGCCAATAAGAACTTTTCTGTGTGATCCATCCATTGCTGCTCGTTCTATACGGCCGCTAGTACCCCAGTCAGTCCAATACATATAACTGCAATATTTTAAAATAATTTATTCATGATATGTTTAAATGCATTAGCTATCAGAATAAGCAAATTTAAAACACAACATGCTTATTATATATGCATTTTACCAACATGCAAAGTCTTAGATAACAAAATTCTGACCTTAGGCCTGTTTAGTTCAATATCTTTGTCCTTTTAAGAGTTAGCATTCTGTCTTGTCTAATTTTTTTACTCCTGAAGAAATATTCAGGCAATGATAAGATTAAGGACTTCTAAAAATACTTATCTTTAAAAGACCCTTTTGGGGAAGGATTTCCATTGGTTGCTTCATCAACACTTCCAGGTTCCAAAATCTTGTCCCTTTAAAAGGCATCTTCAATCTGGCAAATGTAACCAATGTTTAGGAAGATGGGCATTGTAAAGCAATCACAATCCAACAATTATGGGAAGAGGCTGGATGCTTTGGTTGCAGCACTGTCTCAGCATTTGTGATGGGTAAAGCAGCTATACTCCTAAATCTGTTTTCTGCATCTTGTAACCAATATATAACATCCAAATAATATCCCTTACTGACAACTCATCACTTAGAGGCATACTGATCCTGAGTTACACTATGGTTTCTGGAGGGGAGGGGGGCAAACTGCTAACAGAAGCACCATGTTCTCTGATGATTGCTGTCTATCTTTTGGCCATGGAAATCCAATTTCTACTCGGATGAGTGACTGTGACTCAAAATCATAATCATATACACAAGACTTAATTTAGTTTTTAATTTTCTCCCATAAAATCACTGTAGGCATATGAAAGCATGACATGTATAACCTACAGATGTGTCCCTTCTCAAGTGAGAAGCCTTGAACAAAAAATTTTGCCATTACACACTATATGTCGAGATCAACAGTCAAAACTCAATGCACTGAACCAAACAATATATCTCGTTCATTTACAAGTTGTTATTCAGAGATTTTTCTGGAACTAATTACAAATTTTCTTTGACTGTTTTACAACTATAGTATATAAGCAACATATAAAGATCAAATCTTAAAATGCGATGAATACGAGTGATGAAATGGTAATTCTGCAATGAAGATATAATGTCTGGTAGATAATACATGTCATAACATCAACATGCTGATGACATGCTTATTGGAAGAGTCAATAATTTAATCTAAGAGAACCTTATACATATTCTGGCCAAAGTGATGTAGAAATAAACACTCAAACTGATTGCAATGACTCAAACTGATTGCAATGACTCAAAACTGATTGCAATCTCCCCTTGATGACCAAGCTTGAGAGTTGATTCCTCAGTCCATCAATTATGATAGGCTGCATAATTCTGTAGAAATGCAGATTACTGAACATGTAACAGTCAAAAGGATTCTTTACTTCCATCTTTTACCATACTGGTACATTAGGTAGATCAGCTCCTTAACACTGGTAATTTCCAGTTACTTGCCTTATGAATACATTAATGCCTTATGAGTACATTAGCAAAGTAGAATTTTGCGATATCTGAGTGCTTTATTGACAAAGTAGAAATAATTTAAAAGTAAATTTTCACTATTCTATTCATTCTATCAAAATTAATATCAAATTAATCAAAACAACGACTTTATAAATGATCTTTTAATAAATCATATTTTTAAAGATTAAGCTCAATATAAAGAGTTTGAGATACACATAAGGTTATAATTACCCTTCTGATGGATCTAGAGCAAGTGCCCTAGGATCATCCATATTTTGCCATAGTAAAACTTTTCTAGATGAACCATTTAAACGGGAAACTTCAATACGGTTAGATCCCATATCTGTCCAATATAGATTTCGAGCCACCCAATCCACAGCCATGCCTTCAGGATAAGTCAGTCCAAATTCTACAACTGGTTCTACATAGCTACCATTCATAAAAGCTCGGCTTATAGTCTACAGAAGAAAATAATTTCAATAAAAGAACACAACCAAGGAAATAAAATAAAATACAATGATGATTCATAATTAAAGGGGGAAAACTGTATCTTGATACATAACACATAGGATAGAAAAAAAAATCTTTTAATATGTAAGTAATGTTGCAAATGTTCATAAAAGATATCAATAGAATCATGCATTACAAAGAAGTCGCTATACTGAAAATGGATTTAACATACTTTCATTGTTTGGAGACTACTTTTCCTATGGATTTTTGTAAAAGGAACTTTCCTTATAATGAACATCAACTGTATTATAAATTAAAGGCTTTTTAAATTACATCATTTGGATATATCACAGAAGAATTCCGATAATTTGCACCCCTCAGGATCAAGGGTTGTGTAACTTACTGAATATTTGAATTGTGTCATGTTTTTCTGAGTTTTGTTTAACATTTCTCATTCTAAACTTTAGATTAAATTAGGATTGTCTGCATATAAATAACTAACCATTTATAGCTAAGATAATCATTTCTAGAGGCATAAAGCAGACTCAGTTTTCATTAATCATATTATCTCAGTCACCTCTTAGTTGACATTTAATGTAATGAAATTTTGGGAAAAAATCAATAAAGTATGAATTAATGATTTAATGTTACTGCCTATAGTTATAAATAGCTTATGAAATATCAAACAGAAAAGATAAAAAGCAAAATGTATCATATATAAGTATTTTGCTCCGTTTTTTGGAAAAATATGTGCCTCTGAACGAGATTCGTGATTTGAATCTTTATCTTGTTGTATTCGTATATAATTTGTCTCTGAAGGTACAGTTATGATTATTCATGAAACATAACAATAGCTACATGCTAAGTAACAGTTTCATTCTCTGTCAAAACTACATAGCAAAGCTACAGTGAAAGACAGGGCTTCTCTATTTATGAAGCAATAAATAAACTGTTTTTATTATAAAAAAATTCAAAATAAAAGTCTGAAATTTATTGAAGAAGTATTAAAATAAATGTCTTTGCAATGTGTAAGAAAATTGATAATAGAAGAGCTTAATTTAAAAAGCTTAATTCCATTATTTTAATTTAATTGATATAAAATATCCAACTATAAAATTTTGTTCTTGTGATCTCGAAGAAAATGTTATAAATGCTGCTTTTTTTAAATATATCATAAATTACAATATTGGATATACAATGGTTATCATAAATTAAGGAAAAATCACAAAAATAGAGATAACTCCCTCAAAAATAAGCCAAACCGTGTAAAATTTGAATATGTTGCTAAGTACGAGTAGCTGAGTAAAACTGCGATATGCAAATTAGTGGTGTTGCTTTCGGAATATGTCATCCGCGAGGAGCATAAAAGTCCATGTTTGAGAGCAAGCCCATATATTTCACTGTGACAGTGACATCAGAAATCTGATATAGCCGATTCGTAACAATGATCTCCAGGCGTCATTTGCCTGTAGAACTACGATAGAAAGCCATTGGGAGACTAGAGGCAGGACAAAGTCAAACAGAAGTGGCCAGATGGCTAAATGGGAGTCCTTCTGTGGTTCACAGACTTTGGAGGTAATTTCAAACCACAGATTCGGCATCTAGGAGGTTCAGCCAAGGACGGCCAACAGCTATGACGAGTTCCGATGACCGATATTTGACATTATGTGCACGCAGGAATAGAACTGCTACTCCGACTCTTCTTAGATCCTCCCTTGCTGCAGCCACTGGAAGGTTCGTGTCAACGTCAACTGTGCGTAGAAGGCTCAGAAGGTGGTCTGTATGCGAGGCAACCGGCCATTAGTGTGCCGCTCACGTCATGCCATAGGAGGGACCGTTTTCAGTGGACATGTCCACTAGATGCCTGATCAATGGAGGGCAGTTCTCTTTATGAATGAGTCCAGACTTAGTTTAGAAAGCAATAGTAGGTGTTATTTGATATGGAGAGAACCTAGAACACGTTATCATCCGTCAAACATCCGTAAAAGAGACGCATACGGAAGGGCCAGTGTCTGTGTTTGGGGTGGCATCTCTTTGGGTGTATGCACTGACCTCCATGTCTTTCTAAGGGGAAAAGTGAATGCTCAGATTTATAGAGATGACATCCTTGATGTTTATGTGCACCTATACGCCAGGGCAATAGGTGATGCTTTCCTGTTACAGGACGATAGCGCAAGACCAGACAGGGCTCACATCGTAGATGATTATCTTCAACAGGAAACAATTATGCGCATGGAGTGGCCAGCTCGATCTCCAGACTTGAATCCTATCGAGCACATTTGGGATGCTTTAGGAGACGTCTAGCTGCTCTCAATCTGTTCCCTCAAACTCTTGCCGCACTTGCAACTGCTTTGCAAAAGCAATGGCTCTCGCTTCCTATGGAACTGATAGACCGCATAATTGAAAGCATCACACATCGCTGTACATGCTGTATTGCTTCTAGAGGCAATTATATTCCATATTGAAGGTACTTTTCCTATAGCAAACTGACACCTTCGATTTATTCATTTTATACATGTGCTAATTTCTATACTACCATATTTGTCTGGTAATTTCTTTTTATGTTATTTGATACCTTACTATGTGTTGTATATTGTGGATAAGTTTTATTAAATTCTACATGTAACTTTTTCAGTAATCGTGATTTTTGTGATTTTTCCTTAACTTATGATAACCAGAGTAGCAGATGAATGCAGATGTGTGGTTTTAAAACTGACTTTATATATAAAAAATTAATTGAAAACTACCAATTACAAAGTTTGACTCACTTTGATAGCATAAAAATAAATATCAAACTCCTAACAGATATTAAGTTAATTATCGCTATGTCTGGACAGAGCTAAAAAGTTGTGTAAAGGTTTTAAAACAAACATTTTTAATAAATCATATGAATTAAAAAGTTGTATGAAGGTTTTAAAACATTTTTATTAAATCACAATGTAAACCATATATGCATTGAATGGTGGAAGGGGAAAAACTTACAAATCAGCCAGCCACTTATGGTGATGAAAATTAAAGTAACAGTAAAAAATTTCAAATTAAAATTTAGTAGCCAAGGGCTAAACAAAACATTTAATGTGAAGTTGGCTCAAAACTTCTTACCAGCAATTTAAATATTTGCAACTATAATGCAATGCTGAATAGCAAAATCTTATCTAAGCAAACTAATTCAGCAATGTGGCCTCTGAATTAAACTTCCAAAACCTTCTTTTAAATATTATCTCTTTCTGCCTCATTTACATTTTAGTAGAGAAATGGAAGCAAGAAGTGACAGTAAAGATGCAATACATAAAAAAAAACTGGTTTATGAAAAATAATAACAATAACCCTACATAATTAATTCATAAAATTTAATGCATTTAAGATATATTGGGCAAATGATGATGGATGGGGAAATGGTATAAAAAGTAGATGGAGAAATGGTATGAAACATTATACTGACTATCACTAAAAAATATCTGGCATTTTCAATTAACCAAAACTTGCTTCAGGATCAACCATTTAGAAAAGACACTTCATAAAGATTATTTTAAGGAATGTCAGCCTGTATTCATATCAAACATTTACAAGTAACTGAATGACAAGCAAGTACAGCAACCAGTATTTAGCCATCTTCTCACTCAGTCATATACCAAAAACATTAATGGGAAATAATAGAAGCACACAACTGTATGTTTAGTTGCTAGAACAGTTTTTGAAATCGGGAAAATCTATACGACAGAGTTTTGAAGTTTACTTGAATATGAAAAGAGGTAAAGGGCATCTACTCAGCAAAAGCTATGCTTTCAATAGAGAACTTTCTCATGTGAATTAGCTCACATTTATGTTATGCAATGGTAAAATCATAAAAGCATTCATACAATGAGGCTATCATCGAAATCTGAACCCATGTCAAATTACAGCAATTTTCGACACTCTTATCCGTTTGGGTTCTAGTCAGTATTAATAATAATAATAATAATAATAATAAAAGATAATTTTTTACCTATATTCAAAGTGAAAAAGATAAAAACTGCAAAGCTGTAAATTTATTGTACTTAATAATTATGAAATAACAAAGAAAATATTTTTGACTAATTGTAGAAAAGCCAAATGTTTTCAATATTACAAGCACATAGACTTCATAGCAGTTCTATGAACAGCACAATGTAAATTAGGAAAACTTAGTCACATGAAATATTTATGACAGTAAATTATTGCAAGTATGCATAAAAAAGCCACAGCTTGTATGAAAATATGACAAGAGAAAACTTTTAAATTAGTTAAATAGAGCAATTTATAAAAAAAAAAGTTTCAAAAGGAAATCCTTTCATAATTAGGTTGCATATCATTAAATACTTAATCAGAAACATAACTGATGTTTGCAGTGCCAAACAATTTAAATAATTCTTGTTGCTAGATACAGCAAAAGAAATAAAATTGAAGAAAACATATAGTAAGGTTGTTCCGCTCTTCTTTTCTTAATTATACAAAAATTTTAAATTTCATTTAGCAATTTTATAAAAAAAAATTACAAGTCTGTTTATTATTATTATTTATAAATACCATCCTCTTGAAATTACATAAGATATTTAACTTACTACGATCCATTTTTTTCCCTATACCTACATTTAAAGAACCTCCTTCAACAAAGAGTTTCTTTATTAACTCTTTAAGTGGCCAAGATGTTGGCTGCCAAACCTTAAGTTACCAAAACAATCAAAAGGAAGTGGTAGATTCTCAATTATCATTCTAAACTGACCTCCTCAATTTCAATCCATATCGATTCCTTTTCTTCCAATTTACATACATACTTTAATTGTCTGGGCATATTTCAAGATGCATATCTACGTATTCAAAGATATCATGACTAATATTTTTGAATGAGTAGATATAATTTGGCTGCTTAGAGGGTTAATTTCATTACAATAAATTATTGTATTGAAATAATTCCTTTAGGATTTCCAATTCTTTTTCACACTGATAAAACACTAATGCAATTGCATTAAGATGACTAAAGAAGCAGTTATGTAACACTTGAATATCCAAATGGTGTAAATGGTGCACTTTCATGAGACATATAAAGTTTTCAAAATAAATGCAATTTTAATAGCTCAGCACACTAAACTTTAAGAATATCTAATGAAATTTTAATGTTGCCAATTACAGTTGCCAGAGTAAAAGAAACTTCAGCTAATACAAAATAATGAAAAGCTGAAATATGTCCACCCTTTGGCCAAAGAAAACTATCAAATACAAGCACTCTGTCTAAAAAATTAATTAATCAAATAAATTTTTAAAAATATTGATGATTTAATTTTGTTCTGATAAAAGCAAAGAAAATTAAACTACAAAACAAAAACTTGAAGGTTAACATAGTGTCTTTTTATATTAATTGCATTCTTATTTACAGTTTTCAAAGTAATTTGCTTTTACTAAATCATCCAAAACATATTTTTGAAATCCTTTTATTATTTTTCTGAATATTAAAAGCTACAATTACATATTACCATAAAAGTTAAGAGTAGCTGTAAGCCAGTAACATTTACCGAACACAAAAATATAGGTATAGTATATACTTACAAGTAAACATACAGGTATAGTTACACTTAATTGTACACAAAAATATACAGGTATAGCTTCCATAATGTATAATGGGATGCATTTACTTTCTGGCCTCACATAAAGAATAGCTTTAGCAGATGCTAGCGCAGAAAATGCTAAATAACTTCAAATAAATTTGTTTTTTCAATCTAAATATGTCATAAATTTTTCAGTAAAAAGTTTATTTTCATATACATATAAGAAAAAATTACTGTCAAATCCATACTGAATTTGCTAAAAATTCGTATTTTGTTTGTTTATATTAAAACTGAACATGCACAGCCATTAATAGATATTTGGAATTCACCAACAATTCATAAAGCAATTAATCAATAATAATTAATAAATGTGTCTAGACAATTAAGGTAGTACAATAAAGATTTGAATAATTTTAAAATGTATTTAGTGCTTTAATACCTTTAAACTTGTATCTGTCCAATATATCCGACTGTCACTGATATCATAATCCAAAGCATTTGCTTCCTGAACCCCAGACACAGGAATAGCATCATCACGATTTGATTCAAGAGATATACTACGTATATTTTCTTTGCGGGAAAAAAGAAGAAAAGCTTCAGGAACTATGCAGGTCATATTATCACTAGTGAGTTCTAAACCAATTGGACAAGAGCATGTGTAATTATTCCCAGGTCTATTTAAACACAGATGAGTACAGTTTCCATTATTAACAGCACATGGGTTAGTTCCTAAGGGAAAAAATTTTTTTTTAATTATATATATTATTGCATCTAAGTTTACTTTAAAATAGCACAGATGCTAGAATGAAAATTATGCAAGTTACAATTTGACTTATTGCACATTACGTTTACAGGGTTCATACCACATTAAGTTAAAAAAAATAAGCATCTATAAGCACTTTTCCAAGCACATTTTAAAAAAAAAAAATAAGCACCTGTCTATTACATCATACAAGCTGCATAACCTTAAAACTTAGACTTGTAAATTTAAAATAGAGAAATGAAGTACTACTAAGAGAAATAAGCATTACCTCACTGGAAATAATTACTTTTTTTTTTTTGTTTGTTGTTTTTTAATTTTAATAGTAGTTTTCAATTACGAACTAGTTACAATGAGAGAAAAAAAACCCTGAAGAACTAAACTATATTACAAGATTTAATGATGAAATTTCATTCAAAAAGAGAAATAAATAACATAATGCGTATTTATTGCCTTCGCTTGTAACCTAATAATAAATACAATTATTTTTCCACTCATATTGATATTTAAATAATTAATCTAATTCAAACTTTTCTAAATTTTCATTGATATCCGTTTTTCCTTTAAGATATTGCCAAGCAAGTAGTTTAAGTAAAAAAGAGGAACATTTCTGAAATCGGAAGAAAGAATTTGCTTCATGCAGTCTCTTTAACAGTAAAAGCTTAACTAACCCACACTTGGAAATTGGCGAATATTCGGACAGTCGACGTAACTTGAAGGACGGAGAGGGGGTTACTGTGACGCTCTTTAGATTTTTGCGCTAAATAAATGCTTTGACATTTCACTGTTGCATCATATAAAATAAACCAACGGAACTAAATATTCTGCTTAACATGGACAGTAAAACTCTTTTAAGTCTTCATAACATCTCGGAACTGAACATCAAAATTAATTATCTCTGCAAAATATCCAAACGTATTGCGCAATACTGCGCTGTAATTCTTCCGTGATATTACGCAATCGGAATCAACAACTGCTGGTATTGGGAGAATAAGAACTAAATACTGGGGTGTTTTTCATTCATTCTAATTTTCAACAGACGCGTAAATTTCCAGAATTGATCATTCTTTCGCTTGGTTGGTAGACCACAGAACGTTTAATCCTATTCAATCCGATGGAAAGTGACCAAAAAAAAAAAAAAAGATCCTTACCTTGTTTTGCACGAACTGTAACAGTTTCAATATTCAAGATTTTGCGGAAAAGGGGAGACCTCCCAACCTTCGTATTGTATATGTATGCCAAAAAAATGAAATTATTTTGGACTATTCGATTTCTTTTCCCTTTATTTAAGCCATTCGAATTATTCCTTAGAAGCTAATCTGTGTTAAAACACAACCTTTTTGAAGTTTACTGTACTCAGCAGTTACTGCAACAATGTTATTATAAACATTAATACATATGCTCATAATATAAATAACGATCATACTAAACACGAATATGAACTGACCAAGCAGACGGAATGCAAATTTTAAGATCTTGATAGAAATTCAAATGTGTGTATTTGGGTGGGAGGAAAAGAATGCTGATGTAGCGGAATTTTTCTACTGCTTCGCAATTCTGACCAATAGAACGACGGGCACCTGTCTGTACTCTTCGTGCTGCACACCAAAGTTTATGTTAATGCAGAGAAAGGGGAAAAAGCTATTTCCAGGAGTATGACTCACCATCTGACATTCCTAATTCAAAAAAAAAACACTTAAACAAAAAAAAAAAAAAAAAAAAAAAAAAAAAAAAAAAATAAGGGCTTTAAAGAAAATGTAAGCACCTATAAGGGCCTTTATATTTTATTTTCAAATATAAGCAGCACTTATAAGGACCGCTACGAACCCTGTGTTACATTGTGGTGCTTCACTTTTGGCTATGTTAAAGCTTTAAATTAATCTTATCCAGGAGGAGGAAAAAATTAAAATACATTTTAAAATAATTAATACAAAGTTAATTTTAAATTACAATTTAAAAAAATAACAAAAAGATAATCATCAATTAAAATAAATCTGAACATAGATACAACTATAGTTTAAAACTACACAAAAAACTGACATGATATACACAAAATTACAAATTTGAACAATTCTATAGCTCAGAGACCCAATATATGATATACAAATCATAGTTATAGTAATGGAATTGTGTTTATAAAATAATTAATTAGTACAAAAATAATTTACTCTTGTATTATTAATATTAACTCTGGTTATTATGAATGCAAATTTTATCACTTTTATAACCCATGGAATGAAGTTCCCAAATGAAAAAAATTAATAACAGCAATTTTTCTCATTTAATACATCTTTTAAGCTATGAAACAATTCATAAGCAAGATCACTAATCAATGGTCAAGGGCTGATATTACCTTTTGAAATATATATGAATTATTTCAAATGCTTCAATAACTTCTAAAATCAACAACTTTCAATATTTAAAAGAAACAATGTTATTAATAATCATACCATGTATTTCATTTACAGCAACAGCTTTTAAACCCATAAGGTCTGGAAGTTGCTCTATGAGAATTTCTCTTACCACACCTGTCACTTTATCAACACGTTCAATAGAGCGTCGTTGCCAATCTGTCCAATATATGTATTTTCCTATGCAAAACAATATTCATTTCTATATAAGTGTGAGAAATATGACAGAAATATTAAAGTAAGCTATTGATTGAATTATTTGATAACAATGAGAAAACTGAAATGGAGTAAAATTAATTTTATTAACAAATATAGTATCAAGGCAATTAAGGTAGTCAATACATTGCAAGAAAAGGAATTAAGATACAAAAAAGGAGGATCATTCTGCAATTATAATCAAGAAAATGTCACTTTCCTTTGGAGTCCCTTTTGGACAAACCCCTGGCTGCTTGAAGGGTTAAATACTTGAATTAAAAGAACCATTTTAAAAAAAGTACATTCCTTTAAATTTTCTGATATCTACATCTGACAAACCTTCCTATCTAGGAAAACACAATTTCATTTTCTAATGCAAACTAACATGCATTAAGTTACTCATGAAGGAAACATGAAATATGTCCATATGGAAAGCCTAATTAAACTACCAGCATGCAGTTATTTAAACAAATAAGTTTTTAAGCAGTTTTTAAGCATACTATTTTAATTGTTATGGATACTTCATAAAAGTGAAAGTGTTAAGCATAGATGTTTAGCATAGAAACTCTATCGATTACAACTGCAAACAAAGTTTCTCTTCATCAGGAGAAAAGAAATCTGCAACTGAAAAATAAAGTTACGAACATATTTTTACCCTAAGGGAGACGAAAGACTAGTGTTATCTGTTTATAGAAATAAAAATTGAAAAACTAGAATAATAGAGATTTAAAAATATTAAGTGGGACTGCATTAACATCATTAACTAAACATGGTAAATTTTTGTAAATGTGAAAAGCTTCAAGAAAATCTAATTCTCCAGTGGAAGAAACTTTCTGGATAACTTCTGCAGATGTAGAGTCGAAATTCTGATTAAATTTCCAACTATGATTAGCAACTGAAAACTTGTAAATTTCACCTTTTTTAGACATATAAGATTCATGTTCCTTAATGCAAAATTTTAATGCTCTTTTGGTTTGGCTGATATATCTTGAACTACACTGAGAAGATATGCTATAAATTCCCCAAGAATTGAAGTCATACACAGTATCTTTAAGAAATGAACCATAAATTTTATTGATAGATGAGAAAAATGACTTGAAAATTGAATTTCTGGAGAATTCTTAGAATTTTGTAATTTACAGAAGAATGGAAGAGAAGCATAAATAGGTTATTACCCCTCTGGCTGCTCATCCCACGATTTCCACAGGGAATTCAAATATTGCAAAATTTGCTCATCCCACAATTTTCGCCGGCATGTGCTTTTATACCTTTATTGAGGAGCACATCCCACGCTTTCACCGTTTAATGAGCGAAATAAATTATGTACAGTATTAGACATTTAATTTAGATTTTGACCCACAGATGTTGTTAATCGGCCTCTAAATTGCGGCATTTGAAAGTACTTGGTATTTACCACTCTAACTTCACTATGCTGCCTTTTTCTAATCAGAAATGGCTGCTTGATAACATACAGCGATTGACAGAGCATATATTCCTGATGATTTATTAGATTCTGAAAGTGATTTCAGTTTTGATAGTGACAGTGATTTAAATTTTTCTAACTGCTCCTCAGAGAGCAAAGCCTTGAATCCTGTTTCGAACTCTATCATACTAAACTACATTGCTAAGGTTCTTTTTTTCCTCAGTGCTTTATATTTTCTGAAGTTTTATACATTTTACTTTTTTATATTATATGAATAAATAGAAATTAACTCTAAATCTTTTTCTGGGAGGGGTGACATCTAAAATTGGGTTTCTGCCAGCTTAGTTTCTCATGATAAAAATATATTTTCTAGAAAGAAAAAATGCACATTTCAATTCTCTAATACATAGAGATTTAAAATATGCAAAAAAAAAAAAAAAAAAAATTTTAAGCGATTTTAATCCACAAATTGAGCAGTCACAGGATTATTCTAGCAGCTTGGATGGAAAGAGGAAAACTTTTTAAAAGCTTTATCAATGACTACAGGAGAAAATCCTCTGTCGATGGCAACTGCTCTCAAATAATTGAATTCATTATCAAGTAGATATTCAGAGGAACAAACTTTAAGAGTGCAAGAAAACATAATAAAAAGAAGCCATTTTTTGTATAGTCAGGTAACACGACTTAGCATACGGAGGCAAACAAACAGAAAAAGGTTTACTGAAAATGGTAATGTTGAAATCAGATTCATTATGGTTTATAAAAATATCAAGGAAGGGAAGAGTGTTGTCAGATTCAAATTCAGATGTGAAGTGGATGGGTGGATCAATCGAATTAATAGTAGATAAAATATGTGATAAGTCTTCTTTGTTAAATCCAGAGATGAAAAGATAGTTTCTCAAATAATTTAACTTCAAAATAGTGAATGTAAATGTCAGCAAGTATAGGACTGAGGATAGCTAATCCTTCAATTCAGCGGTAATATTTATTTTGGAAAACAAAGTGAATTGGACTCAAAAATACTTTAATAAGTGGAATTAATTCTTCAGTTTCAGTATGCGAGAAATGGAATTCTCAAAGCCTAGTTTCAGAGCATTTAAGTGATCCTTCAACTGGTAAACAGAGATTTAACATTGAACAAAACCATAATAGAGTGCAGGGAAGAGGGATGAAGAGAGACTTTGTTTGCCCTCGAATTCGATAGTTTCTATGTTAAAAATCTATGCCTAACACTGGTTGTTGCTTCACTTTTATGATTTATTTGAGGCGTGTTTCTCTTCGGTCTTCTTATGGATACCTTTTCTATGCCTGTTTTATACAGCATTTCAAACAACTTATATAAAAAATGTTTTATAACTCTTACTACATTTTATGCCTTGTTTGAAATGATAAAGCCAAGTGCATAAATTCACCAAGGTTTATGATTTCATAGCTGCCAACATATCAATATGGAAAACCTGAACCCCTTCCCCAAATTTAAAACACAATTTCAAAAGAGTAGAAATTGATAAATTTGATTTAGAGTCACTTTACTATGCATATTATTAAACATAATTTTGATTTTGAAATGCATGAACTTAATATCTGAATTTATTATTATAAAATTTTAATTTCACTTTGTTTTTAAGTAATTTGTTTTTTGTTTTTTGAAAATTTTAAATGATGACTTCTGAAGTTTTATTTAAAAGCATTTTTTAAACCAAAGAAAATTAAATTAATAATTAGCGTGCATACATGAGCTTAATCATATATCATTTACAAATTTAGAACAAAACTACATACGAATATACCCTTATTAAACATTAGTTAGGTCTTTATAAAATGCTCTATTATCCTGTATAATATATTAAAACAGTCTCTCAGATCGAAAATTAATCAATCATGGAAATAATACTGAAAATAACTCTCTTTAAGAATCTTTCATAAAAAATTTTCTCAAAGTATTTCCCTTCACTCAGATTCTTAAAGTTATATATTTTTTCTAAAACTATATTTGAAAACGATGAACTAAATTCACACAAAATAAAAATTTGGACATATGGAGATTTATTAGGAGATGTGACAAGAACCAGAGAAACTTCTCAATTTATCACAAAAGATGGAAAGCTCTATGATCTTCAATCCATTCAGAAAGAATGCATTTACATAGCAAACTGAGAATTCTATCCTATTTGTATATAATTTCAATCGCAATCAACACAATTTCATCTGAAACTGTTTATAAAAAGAAAAATTAAACTTTTGGATCAAAATAAGCATAATGCATAACATTTAACTAATCAAATTAACCCCTTAACTGCCGCGGGCGTATATATACGCCTTGCTCAGCCGACGCGTTAACGCCCCAGATGCGCAGCCGATGCGTTAACTTTGCGAATAATTTAGGTGTAGCATCGCAGCGCAAAGGACAAATATAGGCATTTAACGCATCGGCTGAGCAAGGCGTATATATACGCCCGCGGCAGTTAAGGGGTTAAAAATGCATGCATTTATGCCTCTAATACAAAACTTTGAAAACTTTGATAACATTGATTTTTTAATGACAATTTTTAAATTTGCACCCCCAACCTACTTAGAGCAAAATGCTGAAATGAGCAATAATTCATTCATAACCCATAGACAATAAATATAATGGAAAAATAAATATCCCCAATAGTAACAGTTGAAGTTTATAGGTCACTGCTTCATGACTCAAAGATACAGGGGTTGGACAAAAATATGGAAACACCTTTAAAAAACCTGTTTCTTTGCTTAATATGGTGTAGGAAACCTGTTGGCATCCAAAACAGCTTGCAGTCTTCTCTGAATGATAAATACAGTTCCTGTATATTTGCCAAAGGAATATTATACCATCTTCCTGCAAAACGGTCGCAAGTTCAGATAATGATGTTGGC